TGAATTGTAGTTTATTTATTTCAGATATTTATTATTATTCCGCATTGTTAGGCTTACCTAGTTTTAGAGACTAGGTGCCATCACGACATCCTACGGAGGGAATTTTGGGTCGTGACATACACAAGTACCATCTGTTTGATTTGCTCTCAATTATTTTGGCCTTACATCAAGAATTGTGAAGTAGCAAAAGCTTATCAAATTATCTATCTGTTGTCTTGTTGAATCAGGTTTGACCGTTCTATATTTTATTATTTGCATCTACTTTTTGATTTTTTTGGATATATTTTCTTTGTAAGTATATATTTTCTTTTTAGTTATTTATTAGAGTTTTAATATGTCAACTAGAAAATATGAATCCGGATGTTCAAAACGTCAAAAAAGGAAAAGGATTGAAACTCTAGTACAATCCCAAAAAGGAGCACTTGATAAATTTGTAGCGAATAGTAAAAATTCTAAATCAGAAAATGTGAAAGATTTTATGATAGATGAACAAATCACTAATATAATTGAGATAGACAATAATAAAATTCAAGAAGAAGAGGAAGGAGGAGAAGTTGTCGAGAAACCTAACATATATCCTCAAGAAAAACAAGAAGTTCTAAATAAGTTGGATAATTATACTCTCAGAAACATATATGATCCTAGTTAATGGACTAGTATAGATACAAAGTTGAGAGATCTATTAGTAGAAAAGGGGCCAATTAAAATTACTAACATAGATTTTCCAAAGGATAAATTCTTTAGACATTTTTCTACTACAAATTATATTCAAAAATTGGCTAATGGAGAAAGACATGAAAGAAGATGGTTAGTTTACTCTAAAGATTTGGATAAGGTATTTTGTTTTTGTTGTAAGTTGTTTAATACGACTTCTAGCTTTTGTAGCAGTAAATTAGCTAGTGATGATAATAATGATTGGAGAAATATAAGTGCTAAGCTCAAAGATCATGAAACATCAAAAGAGCATATTATTAATATGGGTGCATGGATTGATTTAGAAATGAGACTGCACAAAAGTAAAATAATTGATAAAGATATTCAAGAACAAATCAATAGAGATAGAGAGTATTGGAAAAATGTATTATCAAGAATTATTGTTGTGATAAAAACTCTTAGAAAAAATAATTTGGCATTTAGGGGAAAAAATGAAAAGATCTATCAAGAAAGTAACGGAATTTTTTTGAGTCTAATTGAAATGATTGCAGAATTTGATCCAATCATGCAGGAACATGTTCGCCGAATTAAGCATGATGAAATCCATAATCATTACCTTGGACATAATATACAAAATGAATTGATAAATTTATTAGCTAGTGAAATTAAGAATAAAATTATTGACAAAATTATAGAAACAAAGTACTTTTCAATCATACTTGATTGCACTCCAGATGCAAGTCATCAAGAACAAATATCTTTTATATTACGGAGTGTCGACATCACTGTAACTCCAGTAAAAATTACTGAATATTTTTTTAGAATTTTTAAAAGTTGATGATACAATTGGAAAATGTCTTTTTAAAGTTATTGTAGATGAGATAAAAAGTATTGGACTTGATATTGATAATTTAAGAGGATAAGGATATGATAATGGATCCAATATGAAGGGAAAACACCAAGGAGTGCAAAAAAGACTGCTCGACATAAATCCTAGATCATTTTATAAACCATATGGGGTACTTTGTGATATGGCTAATTCTTGTACCAAAGCTATATCATTTTTTGGAGTAGTACAACGTATATATTCACTATTTTCTTTTTCTACTAAGCGATGGAAAATTTTAAAAGATAATGTACCTAGCCTAACTCTTAAATCATTATCACAAACGCGTTGGGAAAGTCGAATTGAAAGTATTAAAGCAATACGATTTCAAACTTCACAAATAAGAAATGCTTTATTGAAATTAGTAGAAGTTAGTGAGGATCCAGAAACTAAAAGTGAAGCTAGTTGTTTAGCAACTTATGAGTTTGAAAATTTTGAGTTTTTACTGGGTATGACTATTTGGTATGATATACTATTTGCAGTTAATTCAGTTAGCAAACATTTACAATCAAAAGATATGCATATTGATGTTGCCATAGATCAACTTAGGGGTTTGATTTCTTTTTTCAAAAAATATAGAGAAGAAGAATTTGCAACTGCCATTATTTCTGCTAAGGAAATTGCATATGAGTTGAATATAGAACCTGAATTTCGTAATAAACGTGTAATATATAGAAATAAACAATTTGATGAGAACGTTGATAATGAAATTACAAAATCTCTTGAAGAATCTTTTAGAGTTGATTACTTCTTATACATAGTAGACCAAGCTATTTTTTTACTTCAAAGTAGATTTGAGCAATTTGAAGCGTATGAAAATATTTTTGGTTTCCTATTTAGTGGCAAAACATTGAGATCTCTAGATGATGAGAACTTAAATAAAAATTGTTTTAACCTTGAATGTTCTTTAAAACATAATAGTAACTCTGATATTGATGGTTTAGACTTATTTTATGAATTAAAAGTTTTAAGGAAAATAATACACGTAGAAGATGATAATCTAATCAATATACTTAATCATATAAAAAGACTTGATTCTTTTCCAAATGCTTATATTGCTTATAGAATAATGTTAACAATTCCTGTAATAGTTGCCTCAGCGGAAAGAAGTTTTTCGAAATTAAAATTAATAAAATCTTACTTAAGATCAACAATGTCTCAAGATAGATTAAGTGGATTAGCTATATTATCAATTAAAAAAGAATTATTAGAAGAAATCGATTACAAACAAATTATTAATAATTTCGCATCTCAAAAAGCTAGAAAAATAAATTTCAAATAAAATTATGAGTTTTCTTCTACAACAAAAATCTCAGGGCCCCTATTGAAGTTTGGCTTTAGGCCACAAATATCATTGAGCTGCCATCAAGCCCAACATGAATATTACTAGAAATTAGCATGGAAATCTTTAATCTAGCGCTGCTGAAAATAGAGTCACCTATTAATAAGTGTGTAGAAAACGGATCCAGAATTAATTAGATTAGAAATAGCGTTTTCTTTCACAATGTTGTTAGGGAAGAGCCCCATTACTAATAAGATTGGATATTGGACCCATTATTCAGTCGTTTGGGAAGAAATGAGAGTATTATCTTACTAACACTATTACTATAATTTATATGTCCTGTGATGCAAATTAGAGAAATACTCACACAACTAAAACCGCTAGGCAGAACTCTGCATTCTCGTATTCATTCTCTCCCATTTTCATTCGTTGATAAAAAAGAGCAGTGATATCACTCAAAACTTGAGTGCTAGTAATATCACCCGAATTGGCCTCTGGCAAAGTGCTACTAGTCGAACCTTCGTGGGACCTCAGAGATCCTAAATCCACCGGGAAATATGAATTAGAAGGAGAATTTGAAAAAGAATTAGTTATCTATAAAGAGAAAGAAAAGTTTTATTATGGTTCTGCTTCCTCTTCCAATTCAGAAAGATTTGTGAGAAATTATCGGTTGGATTGGTCTGACCAAGAAAGACATGGGGCTTTTGGGCCTTGCTTGGGCCTAGTGTTGTATGGCTACCTAGAATTTTGATATAAGTTTACAAGGCAATAGTAGTACTAACATACTTCTTGTTTATGTTTAAGGCACAACCTCTGTTCTCAATTACTTTCTATATGTATTATTATTGTTGAGAATTGCCACAAATTACCTCTCCAGAATGCTCAAGAGTTTACTATCTAAACTCTAAGTAAAAATCAATCTAACTTGGGAAATTAACGAAAAAAGAGATAGGACATGTAAAATATTAGAAGTCGCATAATAAGGCAATATAAATTACATATTTATTTTTATGATTAGAATATTATAGATAAATTTGTCTAAGGTAGGATATATACTAGTTATCTGATAATAAAATTTGATAGAAACCTTAATCGATGATTCTCGATAAGCAAAATAAGTCAACTAATCTAGCATAAATCTAAAATACCACAATAAGGTTGCTTCTTCCATGTTATTGTCCCATTTCTACAGCGACCTAGTATACTTCATCAATAGTCTTCTCAAGTGTCCCTAGGACAGTGCAACTATATATTTTAACCAGTGACATCATGTTTGTTTAGGTCAAAATCTGTCTTAGAATATTTAAGATAAGATAACACTAAAGAAAGAGTTCTCGAGCCGTCGTCGGTCGAGGTGGAGCCGGAAGCAGCAAGACCTATAGCCGAAGAGTCGACGCGAGCCATAATCGAGGTGTTGATAATGGTCGAAGTCGAGCATCGCTGATGAATATTCATTTTGGAAGAATAACCTTTGACAAAAGATTCTCTCTTTTGCTAAGATACAAACACTAACTTTTCATCAAGATTCTTATCTATATTATTCTATACTTTTGCATCAGATCCTAGAATAATTCGATCATTCAAGGATTTGTCTGTCACTCATCATTGTCAGGTGGAACAACCGACTAGTTCTTTTATTGGGTGAATCACTCCTCTTATTTACTTGAATATCATTTATTATTATTCATTGTTATGCTACATTATTGCTCATACTTTTTGAAATAGTTATTACATGCTGATATTACTTTCCTACCAAATATATTCGACGCTAATCACGCTTTCGAAAGTCACATCTGGAAAAATTATTTTTTTTGGTTACTAATTAACTTTATTACCAATTGAAACATATGTACAGTACACAAAAAAACTGCTTGTTGGACATCATGTCCCAACAGTCATCATAGTAAGAAGCAACAAGCCAAACAAACAAAAGCTACTATGTTTAACCCATTATCACACAAATTTAATTATTTGAATCTAAGAGTTATATTTTTTTGGTCAATGACAAGATTATAATCCAAAACATTACAACAGAAGCAGATAATTTGAGCCAAATTGATGATCATCATAAGCAAAGGTGAATCAGATAAATTAAAGAATGTAATGTTACAAAATGTTTATGTTCATCTAATTTTTTGCTTCTATTTTTTTTCTACAATGAGATGATATTTAAATTATTTAAATCAGTTTGATAAATTCCTGGAAATCAATTCTGCCATCTCCATTTTCATCGAAAGCCATGATCATCTTCTTGCAATTTTCCAAGTCTGCAGCTTGCTTTAATCCCAAAGCGCACAGAACTCTCTGCAAATCCCATTCATCAATAAATCCATCTTTGTTCTCATCAAAGACACCAAAAGCTTCTTTAACATCTTGCTCTTTAGCTTCTAGTTCCTCTCCAAATAGGTCAAAAATGTCACTAGAATCCAACCTCTCTTGAATCTTTACACCTTCAGGATGGACAAAAATTCCCAAATTAGCCATAACTAACTCAACTTCTTCCCTGCATAGGCTTCCATCAACTACTTTCTCACTAAAAGATGTCAGCTTTTGGTAGGTTTTTTCCTTTTCACCATCAACTTTGGATTTAGCAAAAGACAAAAAACTGAAAAATCTTCTTGCACAGTCAAAGATTATATACAGAAAGAAGAAGCCCACGAAGCCATGAATTAGCAAAGGCACAGGAATTGTAGTTACAGGGAACTTCTTGATTGGGAAGCGATTCAAATAACTAGGAGCTGCCATTTTAATTGTATGTTAATTGGAACTTCTTTATGTTATGGTGAAAGGAGGGTGATATTCTTGCATGCAGATAGAAAATATGAGGAAAAGAGAGTTTGTTGTTTTGTTGTTGATGAGAATGGGGGAAGGTACAACGGAAATATATATACAAAGAGGGAATTAAACTAAGGAGGTTGAATTAAGTTTGAAATTTCAAGAGGAAGGTGCTTAGTGGGTGCAGTTTATGAGTTCGTGGGAAAAGATGACCAAAAATAATCAAGATTTGGTCTTCAATTCCACCCAATGGAAGTGTCAAAGAAGTTTCATAATTTCTTACTGTGAAGAGTCATTTGCCTCTTTGTTGGAAATATGGTGGGGCAGGCTGGCCGTTTTTTTTTTAAAATCATGTTGTCAGTTTGTGGTTGCTTTTGCCTCAAATTAAGCCTCTTTCAGTGACGAAAAAAGCCTCTTTTAGTTGACCATTATAAGAAGGAAGGTACCCTGGAGTTTCCTCATTGATTTTGGTAGTATACTTAGTTGGAAAAGCACAATAATCGTTCAAGCTTAGGCGTGTTAATAACATTATTTTAAAAGATACTTAGTATATATTTCACTAAATTCAACAAGCTCTCCTAATATAACAAAAAAAAAAATCGATAAGATAAAACCTAACAAAGATGAGAAGAAATCCGCCACTTTTGTGTTTCCATTCAATTAGTAAATCCAATTAAAATTTTATTTGCTTATTAAAAGAATAACTCTTTATGCCCTCGAAGAGGAAAAAGTTATTTTTAACCAATTAGAGATTCTTCTTTCTGACATTTTATTCAGGTTCTTTCGCACATAATTTTTTTTTTTTTTATTTTGGTAAAAGGTTGATTGAAAGTACTTAGCAGCCGGGCACTAAGGAATTCACTGCTTTTTCCATGCTATATCTTCTTTCTTAATACACTTCAAAGTGGAAAATAATTGGTACACCAATTCAATCTATTTCTGCATGAAGGAATTCCAAACTTGACCAAGTGGTTCATCGTGAAATACACGGAAAGTAAAAGTCATGTGCTACTTTCTTCATGATTTTCCTTTTCTTTTTTCTGAAAGTAAAGGTACGGCAAGCGGCAAGGCTAAATTTCTTATCTATTTATTGAAACTTTTTCTCTTTATTATTATTATTTTTAAAAATTCTGAGGTAATAGACAACTTGCTCTATTAAACCCCAGGAAATAGAAATCCGTGACGTTTCATATTTATTGTTCTAACAAAGAATGAAGTCAACAAGAGACAACTAATTTCAGCCAAGCAGTAGGTCTATTCTTTAATTGATAAATCAATAGCACTTTTAATTTCTTTTTCCTTTTCGCCAAACGAATTGGCCAAAAATAAATCAATGGAAGTAGGTATTGGACGGTGCATTTTATTTTTGACTCCTCAGCAACAACAACAACAACAACAACAACAACAACAACAACCCAGTATAATATCACTAGTGCAGTCTGGGAAGGGTAGTGTGTACGCAGACCTTATCCCTACCCTGAGGTAGAGAGACTGTTTCCGATAGACCCTCGGCTCCCTCCCTCCAAGAACTCCTTCGAACTTACAACCTCTTGATTGAAAGTGAGGGTGCTTACAACTAGAGCAATCCACTCTTGTCGAACTCACTACTCACTGTTTCCTTTTTTGTTTCATTGGATCGAGAGGATTTCTTTGAAACTTAAGGAATGAGATTTGTTTTTACTTTACATATAATCTTTTCCATAGACATCATATTTTGAATCAAGTTAGAAGGCTCAAATGAATATTTTAAGAAAAATTAGAAAAAATAATATTAAATTGGACTACCTCTGAAAGTTCGAATGAATTTTGAATTACTTACTTACGTTAATAAGATTCCAGAGCAATTACTTACCGGAAAAAAAAAATGCTAAGTATAGATGGAGTCATGAGGAGAGCCAAGGAAAGAAAATTAGTTAGATAGAGAGAACAGGAATGGTACGACTGTAAAAATGAGTGTAAATAAATGGGAAGTTAAAGGGTTATTTTACTGGAATTGGTGAATATTTGTTACGTGTTGCATTTAGGGAAACTATGGGTCCACTATCCGATTCCTTAAATAACGCAATTTTCTCGGACTCCATTTATGCTGACCTATTGATCTTGTCTTGAAAAAAAGAAAAATAAATAAATTATGTTAAATTTGGGTATTTGGGGATGCATTTTCTTTAAGCCCCATTGTTTCCTTTTTTGTTTCATTGGAGAGTAATGAGTATTGAAACTTAAGGAATGAGATTTGGTATTTACTTTACATATCCTAGACATCCCAAATCCATATTTTAAATCAACTTAGAAGACTGGCTACAAGGAAAAACTTTATTGCAAAACCTGTCATTAGAAAAAAAATTTAAACTTCTTCGCTATGAATCCCGATTGGATACTTCTATGCAGTCGATGTTGGAAATTGTACGTCTTCGACACCCTTAGAACATATAACTCGATATTTAGAGTTCACACGTTGATTGAAGACATCGTAGAACAAACTTGGAAGTGATTGGTTCAACTACAATATGCATCCGATTTAAAATTATTTTGCCGTGTTGACATTTCATTGGGTAATATTCCGCTTTTCCATTGCCTCATTCAATATCTGCAAGATTGCAACTCTAGTTGTGTATGTCCTCTTTCTAGCTTATTTTTCTTTTTTGGATTCCTCCTAGTAACGTGTTCTTCCTTCAGTTTCACATACGTAGTAATAATCCTCGTAAATTCTCTTGGGCAGCAAGAGATGGACTAGAGAAAATTTACAACATCATGAATTTCCTTGTAAATCCCTCTTCTATGTTTTATCTTCCCAAGCAAATTAGAAAAAATAATGTTAAATTGGACTATCTCCGAAAGTTCAAATGAATTTTGAATTACTTACGCTAATAAGATTCTAGAGCAATTAATTACCCGGGAAAGGGGGAGAGAGCCAAGAAATGAAAAGAAAAAAATAGATAGAAAGGAGCAGGAACGGTATTACTCTAAATAAATGGAAGTAAAAGGGTTATTTTACTGGAATTGGTGAATATTTGTGACGTGGAGGATTTAGGGGATCTATTGGTTCACTATCCGATTCCTTTTAAAAAAAAAGAAGCAATTCTCCTGGGCTCCACCTATGCTGATACTGATCTTTCAAAAATGAAAAAAAGAATTTAATTATTTTTAAAATTAGCGACGTCGCCACTTGGCCGGCGACCTACGGTTTCCTCTCTCTTCCCCCCCCCCCC